CAAAGGAGCCGCCACCGCGCCCGCCGCGCCGCGTCCCCTCGGCCCGCGCTCCCGGCCCGCTCCCCTCGGCCTCCCCCGAGGCCGCGCGCCGCCCGCCCACGGCCCTTCGACGGCGCAAGGCCCGGGCCAGAGCCCGGACCTCGGGTGCGCGGCCGGCCAGCCCCGGGGCCGCACTCACCGCTGCAGCACCAGGACGACGGGGAGCCGTTGGGGAACTTGGCCGAGTCCGGGACGATGCAGACGCTGGAGCTGAGGTGCGGACACTCCATGGCCACGAGGACGGCGGCGGGGACGGCCGGGGCTCCGGGGCGGAGGGACTCCGGAGGCTCCGTCTGGGGTCGTCCCTGGCCCGGCGCTGGGCAGACGGCGGCTGCCGCGTCCCGAGCCTTTGCGTCAAAGAAAGCAAGGGTTTCCGGGAGCCGGGTTTTGCCACCCGCCGTCTCCCGGCGCCCCGCTCCAGAGAACGTGGAAATCCGGACTCCTGGTTCTGCCGCCGCCCGGAGCCGGGAGGCTTCCGCCTTCTCCGCTGCCCCCGCCCACCCCGCTGGCCACGCCCCCGGCCCGGCCCCGCCTCCGTGCTAGCCGGAGGGCGGGGACTCGGCGCCCACCCGCTGCCGGCGCAGAGTCGCGCAGGGGCGTGAAGTGACTTTCCCAACTCTAACCGCCCCGGGCGGCGGCGACCGGTTCTGGGGACCCTCGGCTGGGGCAGGCCGGTCGGGACCGCCGCGCCTACCGCGGCGAGTCGACTGCTACCGCGAGGCTTGGCGCTGGAAGACTTGGCCGCACTGCGAAGCGTGCGGAAAATGAAAACCACGCTCACCGACAGGCACCGTAGCCCGGTTTTACACAGGAAGAAGCCGGCGAGGGGACCTTTGGGGCGTGGCCCTCGGTGGCTCAGCCGGCCGCAGAGGGCCCAGAACAGCCCTGACTTTCGGGTTCTCCCCGTAGCAGGTGCCGTCCGGAACCACTGCGGGTTCTGAACTCCGGGAGCTTCACAGCTGGGCCCGCACGACTACCGGTGTGCCCGGCTCCGGACCCTGCCGTTACGACTCCCTGTGTGGGAATGTTCATACCTACACCTCTCTACGTTGAAAGAAAAGACGATCTGGTTTGCTGTGCGAGGTCCGTGTCACCAGATAATAAAAAAAAGAGGCAGTGTAACATTTGTTAGAAGCCCACCACTGTCGTCCAGCCAGGCACCTCGCATACCATACCTCCTTTCATCCTCAAAACACCCTCCCAAGCCTCTGCTAACCCCTCTCCCCCACTTTATTTTTACAGTCGGGAAAACCGGGAGCATGATTTGCTTTGAGAAGATTGGACCCCAGAAGAAGATTGGACAAGCTTTTAGAAAGCCTGCAACCTCACAGTCTCGGCCTTGAGAATATCTGGGGCTCCCACAAACCTAAAGTTGGGTTTGTTTTTGTTTGTTTGTTTGTTTGTTTTGCTTTGTTTTGTTTAATCTGGTGAAGGAGCCACGTGACAGATGGCAAGCAAGGGGAGAGGGGAAGACAGATGTGGCAATCCTTCGGGCAAGAAAGCAAAGGTCAGGAAATGATTAAACCGGCTGGGCCGGATAGTGGTTAGTTAGCTCAGGGTACCTCCCTGGAGTACACGCCTCTAGCACCCCTTAAGCCACTTCGTTCTCCCCTTAACTCCACCCTACAGCCTCCTACCTGCTGTTGTCCAGCTACTTAGGGTATCTCTGCCCACGGTGGTATTTCAGACTCGTCAGTCAAGGCTCCTCAGCTAGTGTATGACTGCTGTTAAAACAAGGCTTGGAAGGGGAGGAGGACCTGCCCTATCAGTGGACTGGGAGACAGGCATGGGAGGAGATGAGAGAAGGGGAGTGGGACTGCGAGGGAATGAGGAAAGGGGCTACAGCTGGGATACAAAGTGAATAAACTGTAATTAATATTAAAAAACAATTAAAATTTAAAAAAAAACAAGGCTTGGACCGGTTTTGACAGCAGGGAGCTGTGGAAAGTGAGCTGCCTAAAGTGTATTCATATTGACTCTGTCGGCTACTTGATGGTGAACCTGAACTAGTTCCCTCAAGCCTTTTCCTCACCAAGAAAAACAATACTTATCTCTGCAAATTCCTACCCTGTAGTAATTAACAGATAAAGTTTGTTTCTCTTCTAAAATAAAATAAAATAAATACAGTAGGTGAAGGCTACTTCTTGGGAAGAGAGAAGAGACTAAACTATTCAACCCCATCCACCTATATTAATCTTACAAGTCTGGCTCAAGCGACCTTCTCAGAGGCCTTCTGGACACCCACACTCATTCAATACATCCACAGCCCCTCACTGAGCTTGTGCCTGACCCCTGCTGTCTTTCATACTAGCATGTAATGCCATGTTCTTTTCAACCTTTGAGAAACTGTTTTTCTAAACCCTAGACCCCAGTTTAGCCATCACTCCCTACCTCCTGCAGGAGGCCTTTCCTGACCCTGCTTCCCAGGATGTCATGTCCCTGCCTGCCCCTACAGTGCCTTTAAAAAACACTCTTCTTGTATGTGACTATTTGTTTAATGTCTGTCTTCCCCTTGGAGGTCCATACGAGAGCAAACAAGTCTGCCTGGTTTCCTGCTTTATTTCTAACAAAATGTGTTGGGTGGTGTCCAGCACATACGTGTTGGGTGGATGAATGAAAAAGGGATGGGTCCAAAGATCCAGGAAGGGAGGAGCTTAAGAAGTGGACCCAATCAATGTAGAGCATATATCTGGAATCTCAGAAGTGATAAGTAAAAATTAGCATTCAGTTCTGAGTTTATACATTTAAAAGGAACCCGAAAAGTACCTTGTTGTAAACTGCTAAAGAAACACTATTACAATTTTTTAGTAGTGTTTTCACTCAATCAGATTTTTTTTAAAAAATTAGTCACCCTTATGACAGTTGACCCTTAGAGGACAAGTTATAACAGGTAATCCAAAGAAACAAGGTCTTTCACTTGTAACCCTAAAACTGAATTTTCCTACATCTTTGAAAGTTATCACAGAAAACTAAAATAAAACCACAGTGAGTAAATAGAAGACCACAGGGCACACTGGGAAATCTGCCTTTTCAAGCCTCTAGCTTCTGCAGCTGCTTTTAATACACTGTTCGCTTCTTCTTCTTGGCTGGCATCCCTTTGGCACCAAACAACACCAAAGGCTTACATACCAGCACCCCTGAAGGTGATGTGCCAGCCTCCAGCACCCCACCCCCACCCCCGCTCTGCTATGCTTGGCAGCTGCCAGCGATGGACTGCCCAGCTGCCCGAAAAGGTGCATTAGAAGCAGGGTTTCAGCTTTAAACCCACCAAAAGGAGCGGGCCTGTTTTTAAAGTGTGCACATTGTACATAAAGCCATGCACAATTTCAGCAGTGCTATCTTTATAAAGAGTGTTTACGCATCGGGAAGGGAGGAAATGAGGAAAGGGGGAAGGTTCTAGTTACATGGAAACTATGGTGAGGTTTTTCTCATGGTCTTGAGGTTACTGCAACCTTCCTAAAACATTAGGTTTGTAACATCGTGAATCTGTGGCCCTTAAGTACCAATTACCAAGACCGATTAGGTCCTGGTTGGTAAACTAGGTTTAACTATCCTTGCTCAGGCAAAGCTCCCTGGAAATGCACAACACACTAGTTTAATTATTTACCACAGCAGTCTTCCTAGAAGCAAAGGCGGAACACCAAAGGTAGACCACTGGAGACTGGGAAGGGTTGCTAAGCAGAGGGAGGGGAGCCACTTGAGGACTCTTCCATCTCGGAGCCTGGCTCTTTAAATCTGGATGTCCTTGCTTATCTATCATCCTCTGCCTCCCTGAGAACACAGACTTCTCCAGTCCTTATGTGTTGCCTGATTCCTAATTCTTGGAGTACAGCTGCACTCGGTACACAGCAGGGCCTCCATTACCCTGTTAAGTGACTAAGCGCGATGAGAAGAGCGGTAAGGCTGACTCTGCCTGTGCGCGGGCCTGTGTTCAGCCCCCTGTACGGCTTCCCCAAACACTGGGGTGGGGACGGCTGGGGACCTATGGGCTCTAGCCAGCCTACCCTCGATTTACCTTCACTGGTGGCCTCTGTCTCTCTACTTCTTTCCATTCGTCCCTTCCGTATCCCTTTCCTGCACCAAATTCTTCACGGCCTCCCGTGTCTGTAGGAGTGAAGTCCTGATTCGTTCCTGTTAGCATCCTCTCTTTTCCTTAAGGCTTTTTTTTAATTATTATTGTTCCAACAGTTCCAAAAATAACCCCTTGTTGTACAGAATGTGTTTCCTCACTCCTGTGTCCTCCCCCATCTCATCCTTTTCCACCTGCCACTTGCCACCTCCCCCCCCCCCCCGTGAAGCCTAGCCCCTTCTCAGGGCAGCCCTCCATCATTTACCCAAGCAGACTTCCGACTGTTCTCCCCGACTCCCACCACCCCCTCCTGCCCCTGCAGCTTGTCACACGGCACCATTATTTTCTGTTCACAGTTCAGTCTCCCTGGGAAGCAAACATGTTTTTTTCATCTGTGTAGTCTCTGCTCCAAGTTAGCAATAGCAGATATTAAAACTGATTATATCTGCTGATGGAATGTTGATAGAACTGTCCCCTTTGAGAGTGATTACATCAACAATCACACGTAGTGGTCCCGTTGGTAGTCAGTAAAAGGGCCTGGATCAGTTAAGAACAGAAACCTACGTTTATTGAGTCCCAATAATTAAATAAGTGCTAGCGACTATGTGGAGAGTTTTCATTTCTTCTTTAATCTCTGGGGTACACGTTACTATCTCCACCATTTTCAAGATAAAGACAGCTGTAAAGGTCAAATAATTACACAAATTTACACAATAACTGCTTGATTATCAAAGAACGCGGTCCCACTCCTCCCACACACGATTGCTTAAACGAATTTTGCAGCACTGTTTGGGGAACCTGACGTTCTTCTTGATGAGAAGCCTCCACGGAAGGCTTATGAGTAGCTGGAGAACCATTCATGCTCACAGCCATCGTCATAATTATCTACCATCATAGTTTCTATTACTCTTTGATTATCTAGATAGAATCTCACTATATAACTCTGGCTGGCCTTGAACTCTCCATCCTCTCGCCTCAGTCCCCTCCTCCCCCCACCCACCCAAAAAAAGAAAAGCTGGATAATCTCCTTTTCCTTTTCTTTATCTCTGAAAGCTCCTTTAATGAAGCAGATGAGAAAAAAAATTTTTTTTTTTTATCAAAGATCTGCTTTGCAGATAAAAGTGCTGACAGACAAAGCAAAGCAGTGGGGGCTCCAGCACCCAACCGTCTTTTCATTTGTAAAGTCAGTTGAGCTAAATAATCACCCAAGGCCCCTCCTCCCATCTATAATAGCACTCAGCCACCAGGGGCACTCTGAGGAAAGACCATCTTTGTCCACTCTAGCAGTGAGTGCTAATTTTTCACTCCAAATCTGTCCCCACCATTCATAAAGAGAAAAATTTCAGCTTCCCCTCCCCCATGCCAAACGTTGGCCAGTTTTTGTTTGGTTTTGGTTTTGGTTTTGGTTTTGGTTTTTCAAGATGGGGTTTCTCTGCATAGTCTTGGCTGTCCTGGACTCACTTTGTAGACCAGGCTGGCCTTGAACTCACAACTATCTGCCTGCCTCTGCCTCCCTGAATGCTGGGGTTACAAGCCCATGGAGCCCGGCATGTTTGGCCAGTATTTTATCTGTGGAATTTAAGTGGAAATCGCAGCTACAAGCTGTACCTGACAATATAGACAGCTGCTCTTGACACAAATACTTCATTATCCAATGAGGTATATCAGGTAGGGGCAGAAGACAACACTACCTTAAATTAAGTCCCAAAGGGACCCTGCATTAAGGAACCCTGTGTTTTCTAAGTTTTCAGGATGCCCTTTCTGTGCTCCCTAGTCAAGCGTTCCATCAATACCTGCTGTCCTTCAGGCACTGAGGAGACACAGAACGCAGTGCTGTGTGGCCTTCTGACATCACGCTGCCACTTATAGATGGAAAGTGCTGTGATGTCACTCGCTTCCCAGCCTCATCCGAAACCCAGTTATTGGTTGCTTAACTACACACAGTTTCAAAGTGCCATCTAGGCTGAGAACTTTAAATCCTGACTGTGAAATGATGTCATATACAGGACCTGGCTTGATGGGTGCTGTAGACCTCGGTTTCTCGAGGGCCTTGTCAGGAGGATAGTGTGGAAAAGTGGGGCACAGCGGCCTGAAATCACTGGTTTAGTTATAACTAGCACAGAAAGTTAGATTTTTTATTTCTGTTCTTTATTGGAGATTTTATTTAGTTTTGTTTTATTTACGGGTTTTTTTTGTTTTTTTGTTTGTTTGTTTGTTTGTTTGTTTGCCTGGGTGTATGTTTACATACTATCTGCATGCGGTGCCTTTGCATCCCCTGGAACTTCGGCTGCCATGTGGATGCTATGAATAAAACCTCTGGAAGAGCAGCCAGTGCTCCTAACCACTGAGCCATCTCTCCAGCATCCCCGTTCTCTCCTGCCTCTGAGACAGCCCCATTCTTTTTTCTTTTTTTAGACGAGGTATTATATATTCCAAGCTAGACTCAAACTCACTATGTAGCTGAGAACGATGTTGAACTTAGGATCTTTCCACCTCTACCTTCAGAGTGCTTTGATGAGAGGTGTGCACTACCACGCCTGGTTTTATAGATTTTTTTTTAATTATTCTTTTAAAGGGATCTGGACCAAATCATTAAACATGAACCGCTGTTGCCCTAAGCTTTGTGATATAAAAGTGAGAATCAAACAGTCCTGTCTGCAAATAGGAGGGAAGGTATAAATAAGAGCAGCTGCTAGCAAACAGGCAATTGCAACAGCCTCTGATAAGTGCTAGTGGGGGAAGTACAGGATGTTACTAAGCCACAAACAAGGGCCGACTAACCCAGCCTGGTGAGTGGGGGAGGGGATGTGTCAAGTAAGGCCTCCTGGAGGAAACAGAATGAGATCCTGGACTGGCTTGATACCTCAGTCCCCCAGGTAAAATGTGCAAGGTTGAAAAAGGAGGAGGGTGTAGTGGCCCAGGGCAGAGAGGGAACAGTTTCTGCAAGGTCCCAGAGGTGGTAGAGAGAGGCTGAGGTCCTGCCAGTCGGGCTAGAGAGTCAGGCACACTAGCATGGAAGGCTGAACCTCTTGCCAGCAGACTGGCAAGAAAGGGAGAAGA